ATTTCCTCTTTTGCACATTTCGCTTGAGCGATCAATTGTCGCTTCGATAAAATATGAAGATAACAAATTTTGAAAATATACTTTAATCTAGTTTATAGGCATTAACCACTATACTTTGAAACTCTATTATTTTTTTTATAAACATGTAATATTTAATCTAAGTATTGTTATTTTATCTTAACATTTCATGCACATCTTTCCCCACATAATAAGTTTAATTCAACTCATTCAATCACATACAAATAACAATAATGTCAAATTACAATCAACTTCCTGCAAATAAGACAATATAACCAAGTTACCATCACAGTCTATATCATATGTTTTAGGGTACTAAGAAATTTACTACTAATTTCTCTTACCTTACAATTTCAGTGCTCTCAACCTTGAAAGCTTCAAATCCCTAATTTCTTAGGGAGTTAGATCCTACTTACAAAAAACTCAAATTAATAAATCGAACCTACCACAATATTATTAAACTAGTCAAGATTCATCTTTTCAAAACAAAGTTTGCATGCAAGTCCCTTGGGACCTACATATAATCCTAAATTCAATTATGCAAAAATGATCTAAAAATTGAGAAAGGAGAAACTTAGTATATTCGAAATTCTGATTAGATGGAACTGATTTCCCCTCTTTTAAGAGTACAAAGATGTGGTTGGATCTAGAAAAAGATGAGAGAGTGAGAAATTTAAAGAGAAAATGGAGTTGTATAAATATGATAGTTTTGTAATAATAAAGTTTGAATGGTTAAAATTTTTTATTTATAATTTTTTCTACCTTAAATAGTAAAATTTAAAAGTTACTCTCTTTATACCACTTCTACTTTTAACTCATTTAAATTAGTTTTAAGTCTTCACTGTTAGGTCATTCAAGAGGACTAATAAAACGGAGATTCTCACAAATAGGACATGAGTCAACCATATAAGAGAATGTAAGATCACCTTTAACTCATAACCTTAAGGTATTTAAGTTGTGGATCTTTTTTCTTATATGTTGCTCAACTTCTTCATTATTAGACTCATACTTTGATTTTTCAACAATCTCCTGCTCAAGTGTAAGTCCCTTCATGTTGGTACATTCCCTCGAGTTTACTAATGACCTTTCTATGTATCATCGTTCATCATAACGAGATACACTTATCTGACTCATTATCAGGAAAACTTTCGATACAAAGATCACTCTTAAAGTGTTGGTCACGATACAAAGCATTGACTCAGATATCACCATTGGGTCTTTTAAGAGAGGATTCATAGAGAAAAATCTCACAAATAAACACAAGTCAACCATATAAAAGAATATAATATCACCTTCAACCTAAAAACTTAATATATTAAGTAATAGGTCTTTCTTTCTTATATATTGTTCAACTCTTCCTTGATATTTTAACGTGAATCAAATTTACACTTAGATTTCACAATATTGATCATAAATACAATTTTGTTGTCTCTTCTTTTCTCCCTTAAGAATTATTTACACATTCTATAAAATTTAAGGTCAAATTTAAAATATAATAAAATTTATGAATGGTTTCTACAAGGTTTTCTACGATAACTGGCCTAAAACACTTCAGGCACTGTATCAATCTCTAAGCATATGTTTGGTTAGACGACGAAAAGTCGATTAGGAAAGATTCGTAATGAAAGTTAATTTTTGAGACAAAAAATCTGTGATTCTTAACAAAAAAATTCTTTTTAAGTTAACGAGAAAAAAGACGTAAAAAAATCTACATTATATTATATATAATATATCAATAATCATTATTATTTCAATAATAAAAATTATAATAATTATAATTATAATAATATTAAAATAAAAATAAGTAAAATTATTATAATATTTTTAATTATATTAATAATACATTTTAATTATAATTTATTTATTTTAAATTTTATTAAAAAATATTTATATTAATCAAATCACTTAAAACTTCTATAAACTTTTTTGTGATTTTTATATTTCTTATTAATTTTCTCTTAATTCCAAGAGACTTTTTCTTTCTACTAAAGTCTATTCTTTTCTACCCTTCGAATCCATCTTCTAACCTAAACATAATCTAACTCCTTTTATTTTAGAAATATATTTTACAACGCTACTCTCAACTTATTTCTTACATTAAATTTTTTTTTCTAAAATATAATAAATTATTTTTCATTAAATTGTTTAAGTTACATTTATTATATTTTGTCAATATTCACTCCATTCTTATCAAAATATATATGACATCTAAGATTAAGTTATATATTATTTTTAATAATTTTATCAGTTTTTTATTAATATTCTTATTATCTTAATATTTTTAAATAATTTATTATTCTTTTTTCTATAATTATAATTAAAAAACATAATTAATAAAAAAGCAAATCATATAATATTAAAATGTATGTATTATGTATTTATAAATAATTTTTTCTACCAAAAATATCATATAAAACTAAATGAGTAACTAACAGCTATTAGTTTATTAAATGGAATATAAATAAGTAAAAGATAATAAAATTTTGACTTTTATAATTTTAAAACTTTTAAAAAATAATATAAATTATTAATAAATGTACTAAAAAATAATTAGAAAAGTTTTGTTTATCGATGGAGTAATAAGATAATGGAACGAATATAAACTGGTTTTTGTATCTTGTTTTTTTTTATTATTTTTTTTCCGTATAAACAAATCTCTAATAAAAAAATTTGGTTTGTAAAAATAATTTATAAATACAAATATTATTTTATTGTGAATTTGAGATACTATAGATTATTTAACATTTTAAAAATTTGATAAAATTCTTACAAACAATTAGTTAAATAATAACTAACACTTGTTAGTTTATTTGATGTAACATAATTAAGTGAAAAATAAAATAAAAATGGTGAATCCTGTAATTCTAAGAAGTTAAAAAAAATAATATCAATTATTAATTAATTAAGTAAAAAATAATCATAAAAATATTATGTTTATGAATAAAATAATTAGAAAAAAAATCTATAGTCCTAGACATTTGCCGGTAAAATTTATCATAAATATTAAATGGATACTCACGAAGTACTTTAATTATGTGTTTGTTAGCGAGATAAGCACCGATATTATGATATTCAACCTTGGGATATTCGTTACTTACTAAAAAAATTGATTTAATATTTTTTAAATAAAATTATTAATAAAGATAAGGATTATTGAAAAATTAATTAAAAAATATATATTTTAATATTTTTATCTAAATGTATGAAATTAAAATAATTTCTTATAAATAAAAGATAAAAGTAATATTTTAAAATTTATATTAAAATTAAATAATTAAAAGATGAATTATGTAAACTTTTTACTCAAAATACTACTACTTATCAACTTTTTTCTCAACTGATTTTTTTTCTTTTTTATAATTCTCTATTTCAATACTTATCAAAAGCAATCAAAAAAATAAAAACTTTTTTTAATATTATAATTTAAAATATATTCATAAATTTATTTAAAATAACAACATAATTTATGATATACCTAAATATAATACTTATTTATAACAAAACTAATCCTTAAATATATTTTAAAAATTATAAATAATTTATTTAATTAATTAGAACTTTTTATGATAAACGCAATAGAATTTAACATTTTAAATAAATAATTGACTGTTAAATTTAAATTTGATTTTACTTTTTCATATATAATAAACTACTATATCCACGTTGATATTATAACATCATTTATGTTTTTTTAAATAACTATTATAAATAAATAAAATCTACACGAATTTATTAAAAAATAAGCATTAATTAATATGATTAAATAACATTAGAATGTTTAATCACTGAATCTATACTATTTATCATAGAAATATTTTATAAATAAATAAATAAATTATTTATTATATTTTAAATATAATTTTCTGTTTAAAATAATTTAAATATATTTAATGATTTATTTATTTAAAATATATGTTTTGTTTTAATCTAAATTAAATTATATTATTGTTGAGAATAACTCTTTAGATATATTTTAAATCAATTTAAAGTATTTTTTAATTTGATTTTTTTTTTACTTTTAGATTACTTGTGAGAAAACAAGAGAAATAAAAAATAAATAAATGGAGTGAAGGTAAGAGAAAACAATAATAAATAAATAAATAAATTATTAAATAAAATACAATAGATTTAGTGAGATTTTTTACTGCATAAAATACAAAGACTTTGAGACATGTCCAAATACCTACATTCCAACTTAAGTGTCAAACAAAAATAACCTATGGGCCACAAATATTTAAGATGTGACGACATTGACCAACAAAATAAATGCCAACTTTTTCTTATAATCTATATTTACTTTTTCTTTCATCAAATAATTGTCCCATCCTTATATTTATCACTTTTTATCTTTCCTTTATTTGTTCTTTTTGTCCCTCTTTTATTCATCAATAAACTTATTGTTCAAATTTTGTCTATGTCACATAAGTAATTTTATGTATTTAGGGTTTATAGCACATGAATTACTGAATTTTATGCACCTAACTTTTTTTAAAAACAATACTAAACATATAACTCATAACCACAATATATCTATTAAAACCTTCCAATAATCATATTCTACTGATGATCTTAATTTATCTATTTGTATCCATGTATTTATTTTTAGAAGTTATCCATAATAAACTACTTTAAATAAATGTTCATACATATTCATTTATATTATGTAACATATAAATTAATTTTTCAAATTTATTTCATTGTTTTAAAATTTAGTTTATGCATAGTACGGGTTACTATATTAATTATCTAAAAAAATCTTATATGTTTTTTTTATATAAATAAATATTAGTTATTTATATTTTCCTCTCCACTTTTATGACTAAGTAAACTTTGCATCCCTCTTGATACTAATTGAGTTGACAAAAAATTGTGAGGGTTGATAATACATATTAAAAGTTGTTGAGACTAAAAAACGAATAATTGTATGAAAAAGTGAAAAAATTAGGAATTGTCAATACCAAATTAACTTTATATTAACTTAGGTTCTCAAAGGTAAAAACCCAATCAAATTATTTCCCATGGTAAAATCAAAATGAATAAAAAAAGCTTTAACTTTAATTTCACTTGGGTGAGTGTGAGTCAGACAGATACCTAAATTTTCTTTAACTGAAAAATAAAAGATAAAATATTTTTTCCCTAAGGTTTAACACTAAAGTTTCCCAAAAGGATAATAATAATTTTAAAAAATAAAACATGCAGTAAGTTTTTTTTTTAATTCTTATTATCTCGACATAATAAAATGACAAAATTGATCATTCCATCATGTTTTTATCAACTAAAAATGAAATAGAATAAGTTAATCCATTATAGTCATGATAAATTATAAATTTTAATTTTTATTATTAAAAGTGGGATAGGGATTGACCCACTATAATTAAAAAATAATTTATTTTTTAAATGTAAATTTTTAATAAATTTATTATTTGTTTATTTATAATTGAACGTATATATTTTAAATTAATAATATAAATTATCTTATTATTTTAAGAAATTATAATTTAAAATAATGATAAAATTTATATAATAATAAATAATAACAAATATATATAAATAATTTTAAAATTTATAAAATTTATTTTAAAAATTTAAATATTTATATTTTTTTATTTATTTGATAAATTTTTTTAACTTTTTTAAGTAATTTTGATATTTTTAATTTAAATTATAAGAATAAGAATAATTAATATTTAGAATCAACAAAGAGAAAATAATAAATAAGAAAAAAAGTTGTATTTAAGTAAACAAAATATTCCTATAATAAATAAGAATGAAACTTTTTTAATTATTTTTTATAATTTTTAATTTTATATTAACTGGAATATAATAAAAAAATATTTTTTTATAAATTAGACGAATAATAGATTAACCACCTCATTCCATAGACTAATACAACATACTAATGAGTTTAATAAAACGAACCATAAGAGACTAATAGGTTAAAAATACTAATCTATATTCATATTTTATAACAAAAATCAACCTATTAAACCTAACCCATTTTATTATTCATATATATTAATATTTTCTACACTTACCTCGGATCTGAATATAAAAAGGTTTCTATTCTTAAAATTATTTTATCTGGTAATTCTTTTCTCATAAAAAATATGAATTTGTGTCAGAGAAAGTTGATATTTTCTGCCATTAAAAACAAAAAAGAAAAATGTTTTTTAGTCTTATTTTATTTGCGCCTTTACCTGCTAGGCCCACACACGTGCAACCTGAAGTAAAATTTCAATAAAAGTCAAAAGTGAAGCCAAACCGAAAAGCAGATTATAACCTCTCATCATCAACACCACACCAATACACCATCCTTCTACCCTTTTTGTTTTAATAGTTCCAACGTTTTTTATTCGCTTTGTTTTACTGTTTCAATAATCTATAATTTTTCCTTTACAATTTTTTCGTAATTTATAAAGATATTATTATGGTTAATTCAAATATGTTTTCATATTTAATTTTTAATATATTTGTAAGTATGAAATAATATTTATTTTTAATTATTAGAATCAAAATCAAGATTATAATAATAATTAATTTTAACAACATAATCATGATAGAACCATCAAATTTAATAACTGAATCATCTTAATACTTCCAACTAAATATATAAAATTTTAATTTGAATAGAATAAAATGCAATGTTTTTTAACCATTTGATCGAAGTCTCATTGATTATGGAAATAGTAGTTATCCATGTTTTTTTTTTTTTTTTGGTTTCTCTTTTGACACAGAAAGCGACAGATATGTGGAAATATGTTGCCAAGGTCTCCAACCTATTAACTTATATTATCTTTTTCTAATCAACTACTTCTTCTCCTTGCTAATCATTTTTTTTTATCTCACTCGAGAATATTTTCAAGTATTTTACACCATATTATATACCATTTGTTTTCTCCATTTTTATTATTTTGCTTTTCAGTTTAATAAATTGGTCATACAAAGATAAAGACAAGAACTATACATTGCTTTCTTTGGAAAATGCCAACCACCAACGGTTGCTAACTACCATCTCCATTTAAATTTAGCAAGAATATCAAAGCAAACACCTTTTTCTTAGTTGTTTTAAAAAGCTAGAGCATTTATATTCCAAATATTTAAGGTGTTAACTATTTAAATGTTTTCATGATGTTGCTATATGTTATGGAACATTAAAGCTTTTATTAATGTTATCGTGCATGCTTTAAAATAATACTTGATAGAGACGAATGAACTAACGAAATTCTCAATCTACTAGTGAAATTAAAACAACAACATATGTTGGAAAAAATTCCTTAAGATTGAGAACGCATCATCGAATACTTAGTCCAATGTTGTTTTTGTAAAATATAATTTAGTTTTAGAAATTTATTTGTTACGTTTAGCACATGAACTTGCAAATTTCAAAAGGAAATATACCTGTATCTTGGTTAAAGTAGAGTAAGAAGATTATGTTGCAAGTTGTACAAAAAAAATAAAAAATCACATGGGAATGAAACCATGAATATGGGCACCATAATTTCATGTATCATGGTATAATCTAATGCATGCTGACTCCATGTGTTGCTCACATGGTCCTGCCCCTGAATGCCAAGTGTCTATATCAACCATTATAAAGAGTACTGTTTTGCGTACAGATATTTATACTCCTTCAATATGACAAAGATAAAGTTATAATATCCATTCATTTAGTCGATAAATAAATCAAATTTAGCTATCTATCTATTTACGAATCCAAGTCCTTTTCAAAATATTGAATTAAGATTCTTGATTCATGCATACGTCATTTTGCTAAAAATAATTTAGAATCAAATAGTAGAGACATATAAATAGTTCAAGCTCAAGTCATTATCTTGCTTCAAAGCTCGTGTAAATTATCACTTGGATCAACCCTAAACTTTTCCACCATTATTGGAAAATTTAAAATGGCTCAAAAGAAGGATCCAATGCGAGAACATTCAATATAAAATAAAACATGGAGAAAACAATGAAAACAATAATTGATATTGACACTATTTGAGAACTGGATATGTTTTTTGAAGAAACTTCTTAAAAAAAAAAACAATAAATGGAACATTTTCCTAACACATACAAGACTTATTCCGCTTAATAAACCTTTGCATTGGATATATAAATTTCAACTATTACGTAAAAATAATAGTTTTCTTTAACAAAAATGGATAAAGTATATAATAACAATAAATAGTAACAACAACCATCATAACAAAAACCAGCAACAACGATAAACAATAGTAACAACAATACTAAGAAAAAGAAAAAAAATTCATGAATCGCGGAGACGCCGAACATAATCTTGTCATGTTGTGTGACTAAACGCCAAGTGATAATACCTAAGAATAGCATTGTCTTCAGTTATGTCGGCATTCGAGCAATGAAAGATAAGCATGCAGCAATGTTCAAAGCCTTAAATAACTAGGCATCTCTAAGAAGAAAAAAAGCCATGCGCACGTTTAGTGAAGTTTCTGAATGTTCATACACATTATTGCAGATAGAATCTCCATGTCATCAATTATTGAAACTCCACATAATTATGTGCCACTAAACCTAAACATAATTATTATATCTAAATACAAATAGTTAATATTATAATCTAACTGCACGAGGTAAGGGACAAGTTGATTTTTTGTCAGAATAGAGTCAGTAAAAGAAGCTAATCAATTAATTTGGACTGTATTGCATCTGATATCTAGTTTTTAATTATTAATAAATACTTTAACCTACTTCTAGTTTTGTATAATTCTCTCTCTCAAAAGATTAAGTCCTCAATGATGCGAACATCAGAAACATTGTATTTGTATAAAGAGACAAGCGAAGTGGATTGAAGGAAATGTAGAATGAAAACAAGTGAAGAATATAATTAAAGTACGTATCATTCCCAGAGAACGAATCATGTGCATGTGCATGGCTTAAAGTTTAAACTAAAAGCCAAGGTTTAAACTAAAAGATGTGAAGGTGAATTAGCAGTGTCTTCCCCATGTGCAAGATGTTATGTTAGTGTTGGTATCAATCAGAATAGCCCCAACCACAAAACCCCAAACGATAGCATGCCACTAAGTCCTTTCGGCTGAGTTTCATCTTAATAAAAATAAAAAATTAAAATTGATGATCCTTGACCTATTATAACTTAAAAATAATGTAAATTATGACTTAAACTCAGACTAAAATATATCTAATTTAATCTCGACGACAAGCCTAATTTATTTATCTGATATTTTAGACAATACATTATATTAAACTTTGATATCTTATTCGGGATAATATCATTAACGGACATATTAATTAAAAAAAATCTAATTGTTATTTTTTAACACATAAATACCTCCTTAAAATCCTATAACTATGTAGATACGTAGGCATACTCGAACGTTAATACCAAATCTCATTAGTAAAAAAAAACGACATCAGTTACTTTACTTTTATGATAAGATGTCTACTTCAGATGAGTTAGAACTATGATGAAGATAATAAGCTCTAAGTTTGAAAGAAAAGGATTTGGTCAAAATCAACATGATTACAAGTTTAATTTCGATTGTGATGCAATTTGAATCCAACTGGAGCCGCACAATATCCATCACGCGTTACCATCATATCAACACGGCACTCTAGATATGCTCTCCCTTGTTTGTTTTTTGTTTGCTTATGAGAGGTGCTGCTTCTACCATTGGTGGTGGATCATTTTTGAAGTGAAAAAAACTTTGCATTTATGAACAAGACGAGAGATGCGTGTTAGAAAAGAAGACAAACAAAACAAAATGGATATGAAAAAAATGTCTTCTGTAGCTGATTCTGAGTGAAACAGAGCATGTGCTTGATTAAGACATTAGTAGGAATCAGGGAATAGATCACTGCTAAATTACATATCTTTCCCTCGACCCTATAGTTTAATATCCATCATTTCAGATGAATCACAATCCAACATGATTTGATTGATTAGCATAAATTGCAGGCCCATCACAAACCCCTAAGATGGAATAATCCAGCTGACGCTTTAATCAAAATAATATCACAATTAATGATCTTTAAATAATAATTATCTATTTTTATTATTTTACATTTATCAGTTATAGATAATATTACCCATATACATGTGATTTAATAAACTACCTTACAAACTTTTTGAACTTTTAATTTTTGTTAACAATAGACTAATTATTCGATTTCAAGTTAGTTTTTACATGAGAATGTAAATAATATTAGTTAATAATATACCTTTTCTTAATAAATTCACAGAGAAAGAAACTTAAAAATATAATAAGTTTCATCATACAATAAAAGGGAGTATAGTAGTTACCCTTGTCAAAACAACTTACACATTCTGATGATAAGAATAAAAAAGATATATTATGTTATTGCAACAAAATTTGTCAAAATATATTTCTCAATACATTTATTATTATTTTATTAAACTATATTAAAATATATAATTAAAATTGAATTTCCTTATATAAAAAATAAGATTAAAAAGATTTTATAATTTCCTATATTATTCAACAAATAATAAAACATGTGTTACAAAATATATTAAATAATACTTTATCAAAAAAAATTATATAAAATTTCAACGAACCTGTATAAAAGAGAAAATGAAATTGAAGCATTTTTTGTTTACTTGATAATGAACAAATCAGCCAAATTTAAGACGGGCCGCAACCAACAATTGGCCTTTCAGTTTCATTCTTACAATGGCTTATACTCTTTGCACCTCCTTTGAGCTTTTTTTAGCAACATTTATTTATAATTTTTTTCTCTTACCACTATTATTCTTATTTTTTGTGTTTCCGTTAAATGTCTGTTCTCACCTCGCTTCATAGATTAAATTATATTCCCAATAATGTCACTTTTGGAAACATTATTTACAATTGACGTCGTATCTGGAATTTATTTGTTTCAAAATAATTTTCAGAATTTATTTTATTAATAATAAATTGGTATATATTTCAAAGATATGTTTGGTTGCACATTGCACCGCTTGATCTGGATTGAGACAAAACTTTGATGGCGGCACAAACGATTGTGAATGACACACAAACAAAGGAAAAATATTATTTAATTTAACCTGATAAGGAAGTAGGATTAATTACTTAAAAAAATAGTATTATAAAAATTAGGTAATTTAAAAGATTTGACTTTGACAGCATAATTACTTGCTAATCATGCATTGCTAATCATGCAACGTTTTTAGAAAGTAAATGGCCTTTCGAGAACGATGGAGAGTTCGCACTGTAACCAACTCCCAAACGCGCGTACCCATGGCGGTTCTTTAAATTATTTAGGAGATAGCAACTGACAGCCACAGGCGGTGGACACGCTACGTCCGACAACTGAATTTGGCCAGTTGAACCCTCCGTTGCGGCGCCGTTCACCGGAAATGAACCATATCATAATCTACCTTTTCCTTCTCATCTTCCCTGGTTCAATAAAAATGTACGATACCGTCACTGTCACTGTCACCGTCACCGGAACCATATGATATATGTGTTACGATCCATTTCATAATTAATCATCGTTATTATTGTTATACTAATTAATGATGATGGTGCTTGCGGTAACTTCGTTGGTACCCGCGAAACCCTTTCCACCTCGCGCGTTTCGCGTATACAGGCGAAGAAGGCTCAAAATCAATTCCTCGCTTCCGCCTTCACCCGCTCCTTTTGAGAATCTCTTCCGCAGCTTAATCTCGAACTATCCCTCCGTCAATTCGCTCGATTTGATAACTCCCGCTCTCGGTTTCGCTTCCGGCGCCGCGCTCTTCCTCTCCTCGCGCTCCAAACACCACTCTTCCCTCTCCGACCTCGGCGAGTGGATCCTCTTCGCGACTCCGACGCCGTTCAACCGCTTCGTGCTGCTGCGGTGCCCATCGTTGGTGTTCGAGTGGAGTGACGCGAGTGAGAGGCTGCTGAGGGAGGAGAGGCACTACGTGAGCGGGAGGATCGAGGTGCGGAGGGGGCCGGAGAGGGAGGATTTGGAGGAGGAGCTGAGGTATCAGAGGGTATGTGTGAGTGGTGCTGATGGAGGTGTGGTCTCGTTGGATTGGCCTGATCACTTGGACTTGGAAGAGGAGCGTGGATTGGACACTACTCTCTTGCTTGTTCCCGGTACGCCTCAAGGGAGCATGGACGCCGACGTTAGTTTTTTTGTGGTGGAAGCTCTGAAGAGGGGCTTCTTCCCTGTTGTCATGAACCCCAGAGGATGCGCTGCTTCACCTCTCACCACTCCCCGGTAACATTAACAACACTCTTTTTATGAAACAAGTTAGGTTAGGCTGCTCAGAAATAATTCATTCTATTTAATTTCCGTGCTTAATGGTATGCTATATTGCATGAACGGGTCGTATATTTTATCTAAAACCATTAGTGTAGCTGAAAACAAGAGTTGTGATAGCAACACGCTCTCTACTCAACCATTTTGTACGTAAAATGAAAAAATTAGCTTACTCTAGTGTTCTAAGGCTTCTCTTATGGCTGCGCGAAGATATGTGCTACATTACCTTTAAATATACGAAGAGGCTATATTTTCGGATTCAAAAGCCATGTGCGATCGATCATCAAGAAACAACTTTACTGCCGTGTTCGTACACCCCCTACGCCAATGCTATTTCTTACATACTCTGTTATTTTAGAATTTATGAGAAACTATAGGATTCATCAAGCGTGAAGTGATATTCATAATTTAAGTTGTGATTTTCAATAAATTTCAACCAGGACATAGATTTTGTATCTTCAAAAGATTTATTAAAAAGTATGTCGTTAATATTTATTAGATAGCAAAGTGAAGAATTTTTTACCGGTTGGGATTTTAACAACTACATAGTTTGTTATAGATATGTGTGTTTTTTAATCACCGTTGATTTCTAATAATTATACCTTCTCTAATATTATCATCTGATAAAAAGTGTATCCTCACTTTAGGGAAGCTAAATCCTTAATAGGATCTTACTCTTAGGGACAGGGGGACTGCTACTTCCTTTTCATCTTCCATTCTCATCCAACCAAAGGATTATATATTTCTTCCTCTTGCTCTTCTTTCTCCAACCCTGGTATTCCGAATTTGGTTGTGACTTATAATAAATTGAAATTTCCTTTTTCTCTTAAAAGACTTGTGGGTAAGATAAGACATTGGCAATGCGTTCTTAACTACTTCAATTCCTGTAGGTTATTTACGGCAGCTGACAGTGATGATATCTGCACAGCTATAACATATATTAACAATGCAAGACCGTGGTCAACCTTGATGGGTGTTGGCTGGGGATACGGTGCAAACATGCTGACAAAATACCTTGCAGAGGTTGGAGAAAGCACTCCATTGACAGCTGCCACATGTATAGACAATCCTTTTGATTTAGATGAAGCTACAAGGTCATCTCCTTATCGTATTGTTAATGATCAGAAACTCACTAATGGACTGATAGATATTCTACAAACCAATAAGGTAGATTAATTGCTTTCAATCATCACCCACCTGTGCCCCCTTTTCACCTAGCATGCATCAAGATGCCCCGTGCTATCTGTTTATGTTGCGGTCATACTTATCTGTTATACGTCATATACTCTTAACGGCTGCAATTATGGCTTAGTTACACACATACTAATTGTGTAGGCACTATTCCAAGGCAAAGCCAAAGGTTTTGATGTGAAAAAAGCTCTTTTGGCAAAGTCTGTACGTGATTTTGAAGAAGCAATATCTATGGTATCGTATGGATTTGAGGCTATAGAAGATTTTTATTCAAAATCCAGCACAAGAAATATGATTAGAGATGTTAAAATTCCTGTTCTCTTTATACAGGTACACATGCCACTATCTCACTTGATTAATCTCATCCTTTTCATTTTGCTAAATATTAGTTTAATAAGTGCTGTATTATTTTGGGAGAAAGTAGTGTACTCCAAATTGTCCATAACACCCTGTAGAATTGTCTGCAATCATATTTCAGTGCTCATGGCTGCTAAAGATAATGAAACGATTACAACTTCATTGTATTATACTAAAACGGATGACAAAAATTGTTATGCAACTCATTCAGATGTAATTGCTATTTTAGTTTTGATAGTTGTTTGTTCCTCATGATTTCTTTTTGTAATCCTTTGGGCATTATTTAACTCTATGAAATCAGTTTGTAAGGTAAGGTTTGCATTCATTTACATCTTTTGCTTTAACGGTATTTTTAGATAAAGGTTTGCATTCATACATCAACTTTTCCTGTTCAATAGTGGCTTGGGTAAGAAGATTATGATCTTCATGAAACATCTCATCTCACCAATTTACACATCCAATTCCAAAGTAGGAGAAAGATGACAACTCAACTAATTAGAATGAATTTTATCAAATCTGGTAGCAGCTTCATAAAAAACTTATAATATTTGCTAACCTCATGAACAAACAAAACTTCAAAAAGATAATTCTCCTAGATAGTTAACACAAAAAATAGTAGAAAATTCAGCCCATAAAATTTGAAAACCAGAAATATTCTGAAATAGACATGATTCCCTGGGTGTAATTTGTCATTTTACACTCCAATTGAAATCCTCTAGTTGAATTCATTTGATTAACCTTTTCAAATATTCCCACATTGTTTTTGCAGTTTTATATGGGTGTAAATTTAAAACATGTAGATTATCACACAACCCAGTAATCCAATAGTAGCATTTGTGTCTTTTCATAAAACAAATTTTTGTATCATCTGGTGGAGCTGGAACATTACCGTCTCTGTATGCCCCCATATAATTACTCTCCAGTGACAAACAATTAAAAATGAAATTCCCATTGATAGTAATTTAACACAAAATTCAGATACTACCAGCCATTTCAAGGTAATGAAGAAGTTCTACAAGATCCATGCTTTTTCTATCCACTAGAGTCCAAAGGATTTTTCAGATCAGATAACACGCAAAAAACAGATAGAAACTAGGCCAAACCTAGACAAGGGAAAAAGAACAGCAGTAATTCCGTTGACATTCCATTTGCACTTGCAGCAGAGAGAAAATTAGGTTCTTGATAAGATACAATTTTGATTGAATGTCTCTACTGGCTCTTATTTTATTTAATATAACAGTTTAGACTCGTTTCTTAGATAATATACAGAGATGTACAACCATTCAAACCTAAATAAAAACAGTCTGTGCAAATATGGTAACTGCCTGGCTTCTGCTTCTCTAGTCTCTCTTCCTCTTTTCTATAGGGTTCTTAATCAATAATAATCTACAGATATCAGTTCATTGCATGTTTTAACTGTTTAACATGAATAAATGTTCTCTATATGACTTCATTGTTTTACTAAACAATGACATTTTTGTATCATTTGTTATTTCTGAGTATTGATTCCTTTATACATGCATGCAAATGCAAAAAAATCTTATGAGAGGTATACTTTATCAGAGTGATAATGGGATGGTTCCCGTATTCTCAGTTCCGCGTGACCTGATTGCAGAAAATCCATTCACAAGTCTGCTCCTATGTTCTTGTTCGCCACCTAGTGTTACTGATACTGACATGTCAGCTTTATCATGGTGTCAGCTTCTAACAATTGAGGTAACTATTCTCTATATCTATTTAAGGATGAGTATGTCTTATTTGTGTGACTGTTCACGTTGGGAATTCTAGTCCTAAAAGTGGAAGCCTTTGCCAGGGCCCTATTTATACTATTTACAGAAATTAGACTGGATTGGCCACTTAGACTTGTTAGAATATATGAGAAATATATGATGATATCATTTTATCAGAATATTTTACATAACCGGATATTTTTTTTATGGGAATTGGCTGTCATATTGTTTGTAACAATCATATTTTGTACATAGACCTAAAGGCTTGTGAGTTTACATTCTTGAGAATGCTCTATAAAGAGGGAGTTGTCACTTTGACTTTACATAAACCCCAAAGATAGCATACCTTGGGCAAACCTCTTAAACCAAATTGATTTTTTATCTCCATATATGGATCTATGTTAGGAAGATTTCAGTATATGGGATTCACAAGCATGAGATCCATTGTCAATTCCATTGTATTTGTGCGGACAAATTATTTCTAAGTCATCCCTGATCTGCTTTAAGTAGGCACCACATTGAAGTGTTGCTTTGCATACAATGAATGGTTAAACTGAAATTGTCAATCAATGCCTAGAAGATTATTTGTGTTGTTTACTGGCGAAAGAACCAGAACAGTGGGCCACTGGTAAACCTGAGCTGAATATTGCTTCAATATCACAAATCCTCACTCATCTAGGATGTCCTCATTCCAAATAGTATATGGCTGAGAATGGGATTAAAATCACTGGTCTCCAAAGTTTGTCTTCATCCCTGTTACTCCAATAAAAAGTTGCCACATTATTTAATTTTTATGTTTTTCTTAAATTGAGTTTCACATTCACTGACTTATTAAATATATGATATGATGACTTTTTATTTGAGGGTACAAGGATGGAGACGGGATGATTTCTTCCTATCCCGATAATGACCCCCAACATACCACCGATCCATGTAAAGTAGAAGCAGTCAACATGCTACTAGGGGAGATGGATGGCATATTGAAAGGGAATTTGCTTAAAGCAAAACATCAAATGAAGCAACAAGCTTACAAAAGGCAGTAGGAAGTTCAATTTCAAGTGGGAGGTTTGGTGTTCCTTAAAGCTCAACCTTATAATTTAAATAACTGGCCTGCGGATGGAATGAGAAGCAATCTCTTAGATATTATGGCCCATTTCAGATTTCAGACCAGATTGGGGAAGTTGCTTACAGGTTACAATTGCTTTACAAATGCAAAATAATCTAGTATTCCATGTCAGCGAGTTGAAGAGTGCAATTCCTACTTCAACCTGCGAGAAGGTACAGGAGACTTTAGCTGCAACCAGGTAGGAGGCTTGGAGGTTTTGGTTAGTTTGCAGTAATTACCAGAGTTTTAACATTCTTGGTAATTAGCCAATGCAGTGTGGCTTACTTCTCCTTAATTTCACCTTGGAAAAAAGGTGCATGCTATTTTTCGGGGGTTAGGGGAGAATTGATAACAGACTTCTTACTAAAAAGGGTGCAGGAGGGATAAAGAAAGGGTAAAGGGGAAACAATTCAAATATGATTAATAACGGAATGACGTATCATATAAGAGTGAGCAAATACCTAACAGAATAAGTAGATAATTAATAGGAGAGCTGTTATTTGTATTTTAGGGAGAGTAGGAAACAGGAATAGAATTAACGTTGAGGAGTGCGAGGTACTCTCAAATATTCCTCAAAATGTAATTACCTTGCTCTGGTCACATTGGCTAAGGTGCAAGAAAACAGTTTTTCTTCATCCCATTCATGAATTCTTGCCCTAGAAAAGATTCAACCCTAGTTGAACCTAAAAACCTTAGAAATAAACCTTCTCCTATATTCAATGGTTAGCTTGGTATTGGAAATTTTGATTTTATATGTTTTTAATTGCTTCTACTTCTCAAGTAACTTGAACACAAATTATTAAAATATGTAAACAATTAGAAAACCCTTAATAATGTCGCAATATTAAATTCAATAATTCTTTTATTATTGGGAATTTGCTCTGACTAATTATATATGCAGTGGCTAACAGCAGTAGAGCTGGGACTCCTGAAGGGCCGTCATCCTCTTTTGACAGATATAGATGTTACCATAAATCCTTCTAAAGGATTAGTTGTTGTAGAGGAAGTAAGGTCAAATAAGGATGCTGAAGTTGCCAAACTGTTGAATCTTACTCGGTCAGATGCATTTAATGGATACTCTATTGATCCCAATAATGATTTGCTTGAAGAAAATAAAAAGAACACTGGCCTCCAATTTAGGTCTCGACAAGGTCTACAACAGAACTTTAAGCAGCAGGATTTTAGGTTACAGGTAAAAGATGGTCCATTACAGCAGACTAGCTCCAGTGATAGAGATTTGATTGAAGAGGAGAATGTTGTCTCAGTAGATAGTGAACATGGTCAAGTTCTACAGACAACTCAAGTGGTAATAAATATGCTAGATATTACCATGCCCGGTACTCTTACAGAAGAGCGGAAGAAAAAGGTAGAACATATAGTTTTATTACTGAGTGTCATTTTTGGGTTTGGAGGTTTTGTTTCTTGTTTTTTCTTAATGTCTTACTGAGTTTTCTCCTAAAAGAACAAGGCAGAGGGACAACTTGCAGGTTTGCCCTCAACAACATGTGAGGCACAGGACTGGGGGTGGGGTTGAGGACTACAGGACTAGCTTATTTTGCGTATATTTATTGCTAAAATGGTTTGCAATACATTTTTTAACATCCCTGGTTTTACATGTGATCCTTCATGTTGTTTTCTTATACTTCTGATGATGCTTGCAAAAGGGGGAGGGGGTTTCCCAGGAATCTTCTTTAATTGTGTCAATTTATCAAGAAATAAATTTGTGAAATGAAATATTTATAATTTGGGTTGGCCTATACCTATTTACTCCAAATAGTGTTGCTGCTGCCAAAGAGATTTTATTTTTGTTTATTTTTTTGTGTGGGGTTTCAGAACCTGTATTTATAGAATAGGATAAAGAAATAACTTGAATTAGATGCAACGCTTATCTAAGATGTAATTTCACGGATAGAATATGTAAAAAAATTGCGTTCTTATTTACTGGATATTTTGTTAGAACAAGTTGTCTTTAGTCTTAATTTATCCTTAAATGTTTGGTATGTGACTACTTGGTTTCACTATTTTATTTTTATGTAATGTAACAACTTAAATGGTTTAACTAGATTTTTGCCTAGTTTTTAAATTTTGTATAGTGATAATTGTAACAAACTTCCAGGTATTAACTGCTGTGGGTCAGGGACAGACACTCATGAAAGCTTTACAGGATGCTGTTCCGGAAGATGTCCGCGGTAAGTTGACAGATGCAGTGACTGGAATTTTGCATGCGAAGGGCTCTTACTTGAAGGCAGATAGAATTCTTAATGTTTCTCAGTCTCCTGAATCATTATCTGGGCAAAAGAACCAAGAAAATTCCAGAGTATTAGATGCAGAAGTGATGGTTGAAGACCAACCTTCTGTAAATCAGATGAAAAAGACTAATCCCATAGATGGCCCTGATAATGCTCCAGGTAGCATTGGCGAGCTTGTTGAAGGAACAAAAACAAAAGTTATTCCCATAGATTCTCAAGAATCAAATAAGGTTGATTCTTTGAGTTCTATAAGGAAGGAAAATGAGGAGTCTAATGACAATAATGACACAAATGAGGAACCCAATGGAATAGCTATTCCTCCTGATGTTGATCATAGCAAGAACGGATTCGAAACAGGTTCTAAACGATACAATCCTAGCCTTCTTGATGGAGAAGGCGGCTTTGAATCAGCATCTGTGGGTGAGCAGAAAAGCCAAAACAGTGGAATAGCTCAAATTGATCCAAAGGAGGGAAATAATAACCTGAAGGAAGATCAGAAAAATCAGGATTTTGCTATCAATCATAGTAAAAACACTTCAACTGATACAAAAGCAGAACCCTCTTCACCTAATGTGTCATCTGAGAACCCAACAATGGAAAGAGAAGGTAATGATGACGAGAAAAAAGATACACAAAATGTACGCCAGACCAACTCGAATAATTTAGATTCAAGTGCTCCTGCCTTCAGTGTTTCTCAAGCACTAGATGCCTTGGCAGGGATGGATGATTCAACCCAAGTCGCTGTTAATAGTGTTTTTGGTGTGATAGAAAATATGATTTCTCACCTTGAGCAGAGTTCAGAGAATGAAGAAATCAAGGGTGAAAAAGATGTTGAACACAACATAGAAGAAAAAAAAAAGACTAATAGCCAAAGAAAGGATTCCAACACATCTGCTGATCCTTCAGTAGATGCTCAACATAATGACACGTACTTGAATAACAGTTCTTGTCTTACAGAGGAGCAACCACCTCAAAGTCTCAGTGAAATTAATGGGAATAGTGTATTTGATTCTAACAGTTCTAACTCTAATGATCACCTAGTTCAGAAGGAAAGTAATACAAATACTCAATTGATTGACAAAAGATTTCTTATCGATAAATGGGATGGACACAGACATGTGGATAGGATGCCAGAGTTCATAGCTGCAAGTTCATGCGGGGGCTCTACTTACAATGAAAACCTCCGTAAATATCTTGTTTCAAAGATTCCTATCAACCCACTTGATTTAGACACAACAACTTCATTATTGCTTGACTATTTCCCAGAAGAAGGTCAATGGAAACTCTTTGAACAGCCACAACAAAGAATTGTTTCTTGTAGTACTGAAACCAGTGAGGAGGCTGGGCCCAAGATGAAGACTCCCTCATCTACAAAATATTCTAATGAAGAGCATTATATTGAACCACTATATGTAATATTAGACACTGAAAAGCAACAAGAACCTGTCAAAGAGTTCGATACAACAGATACTGAGAACAGAATGACAGATACCAGGGCTGATAGGTCAGATAAATTGATCCAATTTGTGAAAAAGATAGTGTTAGAGTCTTTGAAGATGGAAATTGGTCGCAAGCTGAATGCTGCAGAAATGATACAAATGAAGTCAAATTTTGCTGAAGAACTGGAACATGTGGCAAATGCAATTTCACAGGCTGTTATACATAGCAAGGTGCAACAATTAGATACTAAAAGTCATGGTCAAAATGTTGAGGGTGCTATAGAAAAGGTCGGTACTCTTGAAGGGGACCATATTGTTAGTGTAATTTCATCCTCTGTTCAACAAACAAACTGCCTGAGAAAAGTGGTGCCTGTTGGAGTTATTGTTGGGTCCATCTTAGCTTCCTTGAGGGAATATTTTGATGTAACTACTCTCCATGATGATCAGAGTAGATCTCTGATCCATGATGATGATGAAAAAACTAGCAAAACGAATTATGGCATTGGAGGTTTAACAGAGATAGATCAAATACCTGAAGTGAGAGCTAGTTTGGACCATCCTATTCAGACAGAGACAGTTGAAAGTGCATCAAAAGATACGAGCAAAAGTAGTGTCGTGGTTGGTGCTGTTACAGCTGCTCTTGGGGCTTCTGCTGTATTCATGCAACAGAAGGTATTAATTCAATTTATTCTGATGGGAATGGGATGAATAACAATTTACTATAAAATTAAACTGCCTGATGCGTGTAAGTAGAGTTGTTTGAGTTTCACACTTAAAATTGCTCTATTCCAGGATTCCCAACAAGAAAATGTAACTGCTGAAAGCCCATCCCCATATTTGACAATGAAAAATCTCCACGAGAAAGAGTCAGAAAGGCATCAGAAGGAAGTCTCTGAGAAGAACCAGAATAACATAGTCACAAGCCTTGCTGAGAAAGCCATGTCAGTTGCTGGTCCAGTTGTACCTACTAAAGAAGATGGTGAAGTGGATCAAGAAAGGTCAGAACAGAACACACATTTTAACAACATGCAAGCGCTCCACTGGTTTTCTTTTTCTATAAAGATTTTAACAGGACTTCCCTCCATTAACAGACTGGTTGCGATGCTAGCTGATTTAGGACAGAGAGGTGGCTTGTTGAGGCTTGTTGGAAAGATTGCTTTGCTGTGGGGTGGTATACGTGGTGCAATGAGTTTGACGGACAGGCTTATCTCATTCTTACGTATTGCTGAACGCCCTTTGTTTCAGAGGTAAGATGAACGGTTGATTCATTCAATGTTACTAAGTAGTGCCCGTAACTCCAGCTTTTCCATTATTGAAATTACTGGTTGAAAATAAATGCTGCTCTGATTTAGACACAATATATCATAACATGTTAAATTAAAAGGAGAAATTTGGAGAGAAGTTAAAATTTAGAGAAGGAGATTGCTTTCTTATTCACACTCAAGTGTGAATGTATTATATCTTTGAAGATTGTACTATCTATGTGCTTATGTCTAAGAGAGTGTGAATTTACATCTTTATGTAACTCTCAAACTCCACCATTTTTTCTCTTCTAGGATTTTTGGGTTTGTTTGCATGATTCTCGTTCTATGGTCTCCTGTTGCCATCCCATTGCTTCCAACAATTGTTCAGAGCTGGACGACAAAAACTTCTTCCAAAGTGGCTGAGTTTGCTTGCATTGTTGGCCTGTACACTGCTACAGTAATACTTGTTATGTTATGGGGGAAAAGAATCCGGGGATATGAAAATGCATTTAAACAGTATGGCCTGGACTTGACATCACAACAAAAGGTAAATGTTTGAGATAAAAACTAATGGACAAGTCGAGGGGTAATTTCGGTAGAATATATTTGTTTGAAGTTGGCATTCATGTTTTTTACACTTTCCTTCCTTTTTTGTTTGAAATATCTATGTTAAAATTGAATTTACATGTAGCATTAGTTCATTATCATAGATAATATAATGACAATGAGATTTTGCTTTGGGGAGGTGGTGGGAGGAGGAACACTAGTTACGTTTGTAATAACTACATGTTAGAATGTAACAATTGGAAGTGATATGAAAATGGTTCCTGGTTTGTGTTTAATAGGTAAACTAACATGATACACATTGGAACACTTATATTGATTCTTCACTTGCTCTAATTTAGATGAGATTAATCGTTAATGCCGTACATGACACAATACTTTGAATTGCAATACAATAGGAGGTAATGATAAAGAGGTACATAATATATAAGAGACCAGTAAACGACATTCTTCCCCTCTGTATAGTCGATTTGGCTTCCTATCATTTACTTTAGACTTTGCTTATCGCACAAGTGATTACAAATCTTGCTTTGTTGCTTGTCTCCGGTTGTAATTAATGCTCTGGTTTCCCTTCGGGACATTCTTTTGCTTTAAGTTTTGAATAGGAATAGAGCTTCAGGAGAATATGAAATTTTATTGAATATATTTTTATTAGCATCACTTGTATACTGATTCTTAAAACAAGCTAATTTTTGGATACTTGCTACAGCTATTTGAGTTCTTGAAAGGTTTGGTTGGTGGAGTTATCTTCATTTTCTCAATCCATGCTGTGAATGCATTTCTTGGTTTTGCAAGTTTCTCTTGGCCTCATATTCCAACTTCTTTAGATTCCATAACTAGGCTAATGGTGTATGGACATATGGGTCTGGTAGTTGCTCAAGGAACTGTGATGGCAAGTGCTATTGCACTGGTGGAAGAATTGCTTTTTAGGTCATGGTTGCCCCAGGAAATTGAAGTTGATCTTGGATATCATCAAGGAATTATCATTTCAGGGATGGCATTTTCTTTCTTGCAGAGGTATGACTTCTTTTCTGGAATCAAAATTTGTGTATTGTATTAATGAGTTCCACCTGTTAAATAGTTATGGCCTGATTCATTTATATATACGCACTTTCCCTAATTTGTTAATAAAGGTTCATGCACTTTTAGGTAAACCAATTTGTGCTAAATATCAGTGACGACTACAAAAATAGTTGTATGCTTAGGAACAATTTGCGAATTATTATCCTCTACACCTCTATATACTATGCTATAGGAGTATTGCAAGCTTATTCTGTTTATCATTCAGCTCTCATTCATGTTCCTATCAATTCTCTTGAATTGGTCCCTAGTCAATCCATTTAAGGGTCAAGTCTTGCTTATTTAATTCATTATACTGTATTTGATACTTTATTATACTTCTTAACAATCCCGATAAAAGAATCTTACATTCAATAGAAAACAAGACAAACTTAGAAATTGATCTTAAATTGTCACTTAATCTTACCAAACTATTTAATTCATATATCTAAAGAGGCTCTAACTAAGATGGGCTGATGGTGACTGCTATGGCTCTTTGTTTCTTCACCTTCATAGTTTCTTCTTATACTCCATATTTGCTAAAAAAGACAACATTATCCTTGTTTGTTTCACGAAATTGATAATATGAAAAAGTAGTTTTGAGTGTATAGGATGTGTAGAACCGGAAAATTTCCGAATTGGTAAATCCAAAACATACAATGTTTTTTTCTTAAAGTTTTAGATTAAGTAATCTGAAATATATAAAAAATGTTTTCTAAAATTCGAGATTATTGAATTTGGAAAATTTCCAGATTTGGGAAAAACTTTTGAATTGTTTAATCCTAAAATTTTCTAGAGGAATTCGAAGTGTTGAACAAATCAACATGTCTTCCGAATTGATCTATGATAAATTTTCAAATGTCCAATTCAATAAATTAAAATTGTTTCTTCAATTTTATGCTCAATTGTTTAATAATAATAATAACAATAATAATAATAATAATAATAATAGTAATAGTAATGATGATGATGAATGGTAATACTATTTACTATTATTATTATTATTATTATTATTATTATTTAATATTATCATTTTCTTTTTATTTATTTATACTATTATTATTATTATTATTGTTATTATTGTGTTGTTATTAAATAATGTAATAGGTACATAGATCGAACAAAGTCCAGGTTTTGTCATAAATGATGTCTATACAAACTATCAACCTTTAATCCCCTATAATTGTTTCATATATAGTTTTCTCTCGGTCTCCCTGTGCCCCTAGTGACGTGGCTACCCTCCATCTAATCTACTATTACTCTCCTTAATGGAACTTCTTCATTTTAAATTTCATTATAAAAATCAATTAGTAATAAGTGATGTTAATTATAATTATTGACATCATGGAACTTATGTAAAGGATCTTGAAATCTAAGCAAGTTTCTACCAAGAGAAAGGAAAGGTGATTAATTGATTATTGATATTCTGCAAGTTATGTATGATAAAATCACATGAAACTTACTTGTCCTTATTAAATAATACTTCCCCACCTCACAAATCGGTAACTGGAGGATATATCCTGATTTAAAAATATCTTCACCATTTATGTGCATGTAGGTCAAATCATTCTTCCCTAAACTTTCTCCTCTTCTATACAGTTCTTCCCCTACTTTTTGAAGTGAGATGTGTCCTTTTAGTGAAATAACTCCTTTCTCTTTCTAGATATGTGTTTGTATTTACCAGACTATACTGTACTCCACTCTCATTCTCAGTCAAAATCTTATCTTTTACGGGGTTTTCAGGTCTCTGCAAGCAATACCAGGACTTTGGCTTTTGGCTTTGGCTTTGTCAGGTGCTCGACAGAGAAACGGAGGTAGCCTCTTCATCCCTATCGGGCTACGCACAGGAATGATGGCTTCCACTTTTATGTTGCAAAAGGGTGGTTTTTTAACATATCATAATAAGAGTAGCATTCCTCTCTGGATAATAGGGAGTCATCCTTTTCAACCATTTAGTGGTTTAGTTGGTTTGGTATTTTCAATGTCATTGGCAATTCTTCTCTACCCCAGACAGACCTTACAAACAAAGGAAGTTCAGGAATAAGTAGAAAACTTATCAGTAATGTCACTGCAGTTAGAATTTGGCGATGCTGTCATGTTAATATGCCGAAATTGAGGTAGCCAGTGGGGCATTTTGATTCCACTATACACAGTACAAGCTTTTCTTGTACTGTAAATTGGGGAGTAAAGAATGAGAGGACAATAATTGACGGGCATACAAAGAAACATGAAACTTAGGAAACATTAAAGGCTTCAATTCTGAGTAACTTGTAAAATTCTCATATGGGACCTAGAGGCAGGCACCAATCATTATGTGAGTTTTATATTTTTAGTTTATAGGTATGATGTACAAGATGAAAGTAGAAAAGCTACAAGTTAGGTTACTGTTTTATTTTTGTGCTTCATCAGCCAATCAAAGTGTACAGTAGGTTTACTGTAAGTGTTGCAAGTTGTATCACTATTTTATCAAAACACAATATGATGCGGAGGAACTAGGACATAGGCCCGGGAGCTATAAGTTTTGTTTTACTCCTTTTCTTTCTGTTAAATTTGCCATTTTCAGAGGCATATTTATATTGTAACACTAAAAATGTCTACAGTGACCCAAGCTTACTTTTATTTAATTAATTCTTTCTATTGATTAAAAAGATTCATCTCATTGTTGTAATTTTATATGTCGTATTATAGTCAGAATGCTTCTCCAGTGAAGTACCAATATTTAATTCAGTCATTTTGTATACGATTATTTTGTAAAAACTTCCCATAGTCCCTATCCTTGACATCATACTCGAGTTGTATATGCACTTCCTAATAAAATGTTTTATTTTGATAATAATTTTCCATGGATCGGGATAGTTTCATATTTCAAGATTCCATAGCAATTCTTCATGGACCATGTTTTCTTGTTGTACCCATAATATAAAAAAACCAGATAGAAAACCTATTTTCAATTATGAAGTTAATACACATTTTATATGAGATACAAAATATGTGTGATTCAGATCTTGATTGTTGGAAATATCATTGATGGTGATGATGATGAAAAAAATGACGAGAAAGATGAAGACTATGGAGGATAATGCAAATCATCTTCTGTTTCCCAAAAGAGATTTGAACTTGGAAGAGGTTCATGGACTGGATTTTATTGCTAAGAAAAATCAAATTTATTGTGAAAATACAAAATATTTAGAAATCCTTAAAGAATAAGGATTAATTCTTAAATCACCATATAAGTGTAAAACTCTTATTTCTTCCTCAATTGTTTCACTATTTTTCATGTATGATGCTTTATATAAGAAAAGTTTCTTCCACTAGAAAGAAAAATTGATTATGTCTCGAAAACAACGACCAAGTCTTGTAATTGGTTAGGAAATTGACTTTGAAGTTGATGAAGTTTTAAATTGACATATTGATAATGTTGGAGCTCAAAATTCAATATTACAAAAGTTTTATTAAAAAATGGATAAAATCTCCACACATAAAAGAAATTGATGATAAACTTCAACATCACTCGTGCTAAAAAAATGGGAGATAAGAAGGCTTAAGACACAAATATAGGATATGGATAATTATATAAAAACAAAGGTCAAACAACAAAAGGTTGAAAAAAAAAATCATTATTCTTCTTTGCTTGCTCCTATCAAATATACTCTTCTTTCGAAAACCCATAGTTTTGCCAACATTCATCTTGGATTTTACATACTGCTATTACTTATGGACCATGGTCTAAACTAGGAGCCTCAAAACCCATAAAGGAAAAGCCTAAAAGGTTAGTACTTTTTTCCAAGATGCATCAGAATCTTCTCAGGGGATCTAGTCCTCACCAAAAGACAAACTCTTAAAGACTTGATAAATAGCATCTTCCAAGATTGACATGACCCATACCTATAGAACCATATTTTACTCCAATCTTGCAAGACACTTAACTAAATGTTGAAGATTATTCTTTTGAAGATTCAAAAAAAGCATCAATATATGTTATCTAACTCACATCTTGGTAACTAGTACATTTGGATCACCAATTAGACATTAATATATATATATATATATATATATATATATATATATATATATATATATATATATATATATATTCTCCAGACGAAGAATTTGATTCCACCCAATTCAAAAATAATAATTACTCAAAACTTAATAAAGGACCGTGGTTTACTATAAATGATATTTCTGCAAGTCAATGGAGAACAAGACTGATTGGTTTTTGTGTTTGGTTAGATACAAAATTGATCAAAGATGTTGATCCATACAAAATTATTGAAGAATTTTGTTGTATGATGATAAAAACCTTCAAATAATGGTATCATAATCTCATAGTAGTCAGACAACATCAATTTCATGAATTAGTACAAACATTAGTAGTCTTAGAAGCATTACATAGAGAATTAATAGGAGATGATGTTATAGTTGAAAAAAAAAACTTATACAAGAATTTTTTGAGATAAGGTGTTTATGAGATTTTATTGCTCTGTGGACAACATGAATTATTTTTAGACATTATGAATTAAAAGAGAATTTAGAAAAGCTTGTAAAAAATCTTATGTTGAGATAAAATGAAAAAACCTTGTTATGACAATTGTAAAGAGAAAAAACAAGAGAATTATTCAATAAACAAAAACAAAAAGATTTTAAAGTTCTTTAAACGAAAGAAAACTAGAAGGAGATATCAAGATCAAAGATGTTATATTTGCAAGAAATAAGGTCATTTTTAAAAAAAATTCCTTCACAAAATTGACGAGGTTATAAAACTTGTTTTTGCTATCAATATTAGAGAAGGTGAAAATATTGAATCTATATACTTTAAACAAAGTTTTGGAAATGAAACAATTTTTGCCCTCACATTATCCTCTAATAAAGTAAAATCTTGCTATTCAAACTCTGAAATAAAATCAGAAAAAGTTTGTGTCTTTTATTTCCAAGAAATGCATCAAATCCATGTTGCACTACCATAACCTTGTATAGAAGTACAACTTCTTCCCTCTATGTATGATAAATTCATAAAAATCATATTTTATCTTGACACTAGAACACAAAAATCAATGATGGATCCTCACATCCTACCCAAAGAATTTTGGAAGAAAGAAATATCTTTTTTTGTTGTTGTTAATGGAAATTTTTTAAAATTGATCTCATTACAAGGGCTCCAATTAGAATCAATTTTTTTCTAGAGTGTATTATCTAGTCAAGATTAATTGGAAGTAAGCTTCCAAACAAATATCTACTGGTTGAAGTGGATGTTTACTCTTCTACAAATAAACTTCATATCCATTCCACTGGGACAAGGTTCAAAAGAGAATTTGAACCCACAAAGATCACTCATTTAATAAAGTTACTATTTGATCTCCAATTGACTTGACGAAAATGTCAATAATTGTAAGATATAAAAAGATAGAACCAACCTAGTGTAATTGGGCTTGTCATGCCTTTTTATGTATAAAAAATATATAAAAGATCTGATGAAAAAAGAGGTTATTTTTTCAAAGATGATAAATTTCTTATCCTTATAACATCTTTCTTACATTCCTTGATTAAAGATGTCAATATTTTTTTCAAATTCTAGATTTTGACAATTAAGCATTAATACTGTGGAAAGATATAATATAGATTTTTGCATTCCTAATGTCCAATATCAATTGAAGGTAATGTCTTTTGGTCTCAAATAGCCCTTTTTTTTATTCCCAAAAGTCATGACAAGAATTTTGAAACTATATTAGACAAAGTTATCATCTACATTAATAATATCCTTTTATTCTCCCAAGATTTCTCATAAGAGACTGCTAAATCAATTTTTTGAGATAGCTAATCGGTATGGGATCCAAAGAATCATTGATTTTTTTAGAAATACATTTCTTACAAGGAACTTATCAGCCTGAACCTCATATTGTCAAAGATCTTTTAAAGTTTCCTAATAAAAATTTAACCATAAAGCAAATTTAACAATTTTTAGAAATTTTCAATTACACTAGAGATTTCATTCCTCATGATAAAAAGAACATAAGTCTCTTGTTAAGATGGTTGAAGAAAAAATCTCCACCCTACGAACTAGAACAAATTCGAGAAACTCAAGAAGTAAAGAAAAATTACATAAGCTACATCAACATTGAAATTTTATAGAAAGAAAAAAAAAATACTTCAAACTGATGTTAGTGACCATTATTTGGGAGCAATACTTATTGAACAAACAAGCGACAAAAGATACTACTGTGAAAATGATAGTGGACCATTCAAATAGGCAGAAAAACATTACCACACTTCTTAGAAATAAGCTTTTCCAGTTAAAAATTGGATAAAAAATTGATTTCCATCTATGGGGTTGTCATTTTGAAGTACAAATGATAATTTTTCCTTCCTAAAAATTCTAGAATTCAAAAACAAAATGTCTTTAGACTCACGAGTCCTTAGACTTAAGGATTGATTTTCAATGTATGATTTTTCTATGAAACATATCAAGAGAAACAAAAACTTAAATCCTGATTTTCTCTCAAGACCAAGGTTATCAGAATCGAGAGTCTACGTAGACTCGTGAGAGCTTCGTAGACTCGACTCGTAAACTCGACTCGTAGACTCGTAAGAGTCTACTTCATATGAAAAATTCTATATAATAATATAAATTCAGAATTTCATCATCAAAATTAACGAAAATAAAAAACAATAGTTCAATAATTCTAAAATAACTTGGTTCAACACACATGATTGTTATATAAGTTCAAATTACACAAAATACATAAGTTAATACAAATCACCAAAAAATAAATAACTTCAACTTTCTAGCTCCAATCCTCTAATTATATCATCTCCAACATCATCATCTTTTTCATCTTCATCATCATCTTCTCCATCACCATCAACCTCTTCCTCGGATGATAAGAGTGCATCATCAACATTGGCATCAAACACTATATTATCAAGATCAATTGGTTCTAAAGAAGGATCAACTGAACTTATTTCAGCTATGTCAACATTTTCCTCATCACCTTCACCTTGAACTGGCTCAATCCCAACATTATCACCATCTTCTCGTTATCCATT